ATGAATAAATAAATAAGTTATAGTATATATACACAATGGAATATTATTTAGTCATTAAAAATGAGGAAATCCTAGTATTTGTGACAACATGGTTGGACCTTGATGGAATTATGATAAGTGAAATAAGTTAGACAGGGAAAGACCTATACTATGTGATCTCGCTTATGTGTGGCATCTAAAAAAAAAAAAACCCACCAAACTCAAAGAAAAACAGATCAGACTTATAAATATCAAAGGAGGAGGGTGAGGGAGAGGCAACTGGAGGAAGATGGCCAAAAAATAGGAACTTCCAATTCTAAAATCAATGAGCTCTAGGAATGTGTTACACAACATGGTGACTATACCTAACAGTGATGTATGATACACAGGAAAGTTAAGAGAGCAAATCCTAAGAGTTCTCATCACAAGGAAATATTTTTTTCTTTTTTCTTCTTTTCTTTTTATTGTATCTGTATGAGAAGATGAATGTTAGCTGAACTTATTGTCATAGTCCTCTCATAATACACATAAATCAGGCTATGGCCTTCAACTTATTTCAGTTGAATGTCAATTATTTCTCAATAAAAATGGAAAAAAGGATTTAAAAAGTATAAACTATTATAATGAGAGCTGACGCTTCCCGAACCCTCTGTCTGTATTGGACAATAATGACAAGGTAGCTTGTTTAGAACTCCCAGTTGCAAAACATGGCCTCTTATTTTGGGAAACATTGAGGAGTGGCCCCCATTTAGCTGGGAGACAGCTCCTAAGCAGAGCTATGGGGCTGAGAAGGATTGAGAAGTTGGAGAGAGAGAAGGAATGGTAGATGGAACAGCATGCACTGGGTCAAGTGGGTGGCTGCCCAAAAAAAGTCTTGAATTTTGAGACCTTCTTGTGTATTTTTTGTGGAAGTTGAGATAGTCACAAAACAGAGTCAGAGAGGAAAACTCTGATCTGTCTTCCATGGCCAGCAGGGGAAGAACCAGGTCTGGAGGAGACTGACTTCAAATGGAATCCAGCTTTGCCTCGGACCAGCTGTGTGGCATTGCTTCACCCCTCTGAGACTCAGTTACCCCAAGAATCTTTCCCTGCATTACTCAGTAGATATCAGAATTTAATGAGATACAGTGTATAAAGACTTAATATGTGGTTTCTCAACACTGACAGTAATTCCAGTGGGCAGAGCCTGACTTGTGCTGATCTGACAGTGTCAGATCCTGGTAAAGCACTTTCCACTCATTGACTCATTTAAAACTCACAACAGCACAATGAGGGAGGTTTTACTGTTAATTCTATTTGGCAGGTGAGAGAACTGTGGTTTCAAGAGTAACTTGCTTGTGATTACACAGCTAGCAAAGGGTAGAGGCCAGGTAACCAAGTTCAGCTCTGTCCAACCCCTCACCCTACACCTTGTCAGCAGTCCTGGCACAGCCTGAACTAAGGTCCACTCGGCAGAGCTAAGGAGAGATGGTTGAAGTCTCCCGTAGGCAGCCCCAGGGGCTCAAGGGCCCCCTGAGGTGATTTGACCTTGTGAGGCAGCCTTCATCAGGCAGAAAGCTCTTGGGTGAAGTAACCGCTCTTGCAGGCCTCTGTGTGACCCTGACCTCTCATAACCTGAGTCTCACATGAGGATGATGGTGGTTCTTCCCTCACAGAATTGCACAGAGCACTGAGATGGCTGCTTGGCCAAATGAGCAAAGGTTCCCTGGCCTTTTGGCAGGAAAGTCAGATGCTCAGATGCCCCCCTGGATAAGAGAGGCTGCGGGATCCTGAGGGATAGCCTGGATCATTCCTCCAAAGAGGTGATGCAGCAGTGAGTAAGGCACATGGTCCTCCTTCTTCCAGGGAAAGGGGAAACTGAGGGCTTGTGTGTTGGGAAGGAAGAGAGGACCCGAGAAGACCTCATCAGTCCTGCTTAGAAGAGAGCAGGGCCAGGATGATGGGACCTGCTGGGGGCAAGGGAGAGGTGGCTGAGTACTGGGACCCAGGGTGTCACCTCTCTGAGCAAGTGGTCCCAGGACTATGAGTTTACATCAGAGTCCTGCCACTTGATGAATCACTTGTCCTCTATGAGCCTCAGTTTCCTCATCCATCCAGTGGGGACAAGAGCCATGTTTCCTGCAGATGGATGTTGTGAAGAGGTCATGAGGTCGGATGTGCTGGTGAAGGCAGCCCTCCATCAAGGTGGTGGTATTAGCAGAAGCACAGAGAGGCTGACTCCATGTGACCTCGGGTCACTTTCTTGCCCATCCTGGGCCTCAGTGTTTCCCTTTGTGGGATAAGAAGTTGCAGCTGGATAATCCCAAATGTCCCTTCCACCTTCGGATCCAGGTCTCTCCTGCCCCTAATGCTTATACCTTACCTCCCCCCAAATCTCAATGGAAGGAATGCAACAGGCCACATAGGAGGTGCAGAAATGGCTTTTTAATGCTGGGAGTGGAGGGCGAGGAGCATAGTGTGTCCTGACTGTGAGAAGGAGGTCTGAGAGTGTCCTTTGACTGGGCTCACTTGTCACTCCTGGAGGATGGTGGCAGCACCGACCGTCCCAGAGGGAGACGGTACAGAGATTCAGTCACGTCCCTGGGAACCAATCTGGAAGAAGACCCCAGTGTGAGGCATGGACACCCTGGTTCCTTACCGGCTCCTGCGTTCACCAGACACAGCTACAGGAGTGCTTCCTCCCAAACCCTGTGAGCCCAGAGGCTCAGGGAGGGACTGGCACCTGTGGTTTGGGCTCTTTCTCTGGCACCTGGAACTGAACACTCCCCATCCCCTCACCCTCCCACCCCCCCACCCCCCCTCCCCCACCCCCCCACCTTAGCAACAATGGTCGATGTGAAAAGATTGATCAGGGCCCATGAAAAGCTAGGGTTCAGGGCTCAGTGTATGATCAGGATCAGGGATCAACCTGAGATACAGGTCGGGTCTCTATCTGTGACCAGCATCAGGGATCAGTCAACAACAGGGGTTAAACTGCAGTTTGACTATTCCGGGCTTAGTCAGGGAGCAGTATCAAGTGCAGTCTGGGTGTGTGATTAAGGATCAGGACTTGGTGTGACCTGATCAGGGCTCAGTCTGCTACTAGAGAAAGAAGAGAAGCCAAGCTTTGCTTCTACTTCTCCACAGGCCCCTGTTGGGGAGTGTTCATCTTTCCTCAGCCCAGGGCCTGGACCCCGGCCCTCACCAACAGGTGGGCATCACAGCGATTTTCTTCATCTGCGCTCTTCAGTTTTGACTTCCACTTGGGTTTTCTTAAGTTCACCTGAAGGAAAAAATGAGTAGCAGTTCTCAGGCTCTAGCACTGGAAGTGAAGTGAAAGTGAAAGTCTCTCAGTCCTGTCTGACTCTTTGTGACCCTATGGACTATACAGTCCATGGAATTCTCTAGGCCAGAATACTGGAGTGGGGTAGCCATTCCCTTCTCCACGGGATCTTTCCAATCCAGGAATCGAACCCAGGTCTCCTGCATTGCAGGCAGATTCTTTACTAGCTGATCCACAAGGGAAGCTCCTAGCACTGGAAGCTGAATAGAAATCAGACACCAGCAGCTACCACCCTTAAGCAGGTCAGACTTGACAGCCATGGAACCTCTTGCATGTCACTCCATCTCTCTGAGCCTCAGTTAGAGCATCTGTAAATGGGTATGATGATATTTTTTTTTTAAAGAAAAATAAAAGTTTTATTTTACTTTTACATATTCCTTTTCCAAAGCTCTTCCTTTCTTTATGTAGATCCAAGTCCCTGACCTATTTTCTTTTTCTTCTCTCTAAAGAATTTTTTTATTTATTGCTTGCAAGTCAGGTTCAACTGGCAACAAATTCCCTTCATTTTTGTCTCTTTATTTCTCCATTTTTGAAGGATAATTTTTTGGGATACAAAATTCTAGATTGGTGGGGGTTTTCTCTCAACACTTTATATGTTTCTTTTTTTTTTCATTTATTTTTATTAGTTGGAGGCTAATTACTTTACAATATTGTAGTGGTTTTTGTCATACATTGACATGAATTAGCCATGGATTTACATGTATTCCCCATCCCGCTCCCCTCTCCCACCTCCCTCTCTACCCGATCCCTCTGGGTCTTCCTAGTGCACCAGGTCCGAGCACTGGGTATGATGATATTACCCATCCCCACAGGGTCATCGCAAGGATCCAGTGAGATAGTATATAGGAAGCACAGAGGGATCACCCAAGGAACTGGGTCTGTGGCTATTTTCTAGAAGGACCACTTCCAGGACTCTGACACTGTCACTCACCCATTTGTGTTGCCCCACAGACCCAGCAACCCCAGTCATGCCAGAGACCCAAGTCAAGGAAAGCCCCCCAGGGACTGGGGGTGAAGCTACAGCTCCTCATAAGAGGGGAACAGGAAGGGGCCGTGTTTATTAGCAATGCCTACTGGGCACTAGTGGTAAAGAACCTGCCTGCCTGTGCAGGAAATGTAAGAGACCTAGGTTCAATCCCTGGGTCGGGAAGATCCCCTGGAGGAGGGCACGGCAACCCACTCCAGTATTCTTGCCTGGAGAATCCCATGGACAGTGGAGCCTGGTGGGCTATAGTCTGTGGGGTCGCAGAGAGTTGGACATAACTGAAGTGACTTTACTCTCATGCACTGAATATTAGGCTCTTTCTGATTTTTCTTTAAATCCGCTCATCAGCTCAGCAGTGATTACAATCTCCTTTCACCTGGGAGGAAGCTGAGGCTCAGAGAGGTGGAGTCAGTTGACCACAATCCCACAGTTGCTAAGAGCAGATGCAGGATTTGAACCCAGATCTGGCCTGTCCTCTTTCTCACATCATTCTGGGCAGCAGGTTCGGCCGGCCTGACAGAGGGCAGTAGAGACCCCTCACTCTGCAGGGACCCCTCTGGCCACACTCTCCAGACTAGCTCAGGACAACGGGTCCTGAACTTCTCCAGGGTCTCCTGACCGCATCCGCAGGTAGGGTAGGCATAGAACAGGGTGCCTGCCCCTTGGAATTCTGCAGAGGGAGCCCCCTCACCTCTTTCCCAGGCTGTGACTTACCGATGACTTCCTTAATAAAACTCACATCCAGGGAGTTGATGATGGTGTAGATTCGTGGGCACACCTGAGGGCCACAGGGAATCAGGCAGAAAGAGACACAGTGAGAGATGGAGAGAAGAAGGCAGGAAAGAGGTTGGGACAGGGAGGAATGAGAGGAGAGATGGGAGAGGAAGAGGACCGATCATTATCCACAGGGAACATCCTACCTGCCACCTGAAGAGCTGCTCACTACTTGGGACCTTAGAATTTTTGAATCTTAGGATTCTAGAGCAATGGAAACTTAGAAGACCCAAATCTGAAAACCAGAGGACACTAGAATCCTAATATCTCAGAACATTAATATCCTAGGATCTTAAGAATCTAGATGGTGAATATCCCAGAACTCCATGCTCTAGAAACCTTGACCTTTGGAACACTAGAATTTTAAATGACGCTCTGGGAACCATAGAGCAGTGTTTCCCATGATTTTATGTGCATACAATCCCCAGGAAATCTCATTAAAATGCAAATTCTTGGGTCAGCTCGACTAGGGTACCACGCAAGAGTTTGCATTTATAAGTGCCCAGATGAGGTCAGTGCTGCTGGTCTGAGGACCACAGTTTGAGCAGTAATCCTCCAGTTCAGTAAATCACAGAGCCACCTGGAGGATTTCTTTTCTATAACCTGAGATTCCCAGTTCCCTTCCAGAGTGACTAATTTAGAATCTTTAGGATTTTCTGGTACATGGTACATATGGGGGTGTACATGATGCACAGTAAATTTACTTATAGTATGTATAGTTTTTTTATTTAAATAAATTACATGAAATTGTGTTAAATAAAGAAGAATGTTGCTAAAACGCCTACTGGCTATACATGCATATGGCAAATTGTTTAAGGGTGAGACCCAGTGAATTTAGCTGATGTCAGGCCCCTGCTCACCTCCTCCACAGGCCAGGAGGGGAGGCAGCAGCTGACAGCCCAAAGTGAAGTAGGTCCCTCAGAAATGAAGGTGTCCAGACAGTATAGCCTGCCTAGGAATATCACACCTGGCCCCCACCAGGCTTGGCTCTGGGTCCCCAGGAGAGGAGGACTCACCATGTACTGCATTACAAAGGTCTCCACCTCATTCACAAATGTGACAGTGGTGTTGTTGATTTCCTTGAGTGATCCAAAGGGGCTAGAGAAGAAACAGATAAAGATCAGTGAAGCTGTCAGAGCAGCCAAGCCGGAGCAGTGGGAAGAGGGCGGGAGATAGTAGAACACCTTAAAGTCAGGTGACTTGAGCCTCTACCCAGGGGCATCAGCACTTAGAACCCCATGGATGACTAGTAGCTCAACCCAAGAGCTCAAGGGAATCTCATCAGAATCTTGAGACCTGATACATCATCTCTCTATTCATCTGTTCATCTATCCATCCTTTCACTCATTCATTCAACACATATTTATACAACACCAACTATGTGCCAGGAACCAAGCCAGACTGTGAACACAGGGATGAGCAAAACATAAGCAGCTTCCAACCTGGTACCAAATATGAAACAAGTTTTCCTAAGGCTGGCTTCTTCCCATCTTCAGCCCCCAGAATAACTGTCACCTCCTCAGAGCAGCCCTCACTGACTGCTGCCTATGGAGGGCTTTGTGTCATAGTCCCCTGTTAAGTGTGCTGCTCTGCCAGGGATGATTGCCATCTGACATTTTCCTTGTGGGCTGTTTATTGTTGGACTGAATGCTTGTCTTTTTGTCATTCCCTTAAGAGAATAAGCTCCATGAGAACAACTTCCTTGCCGGCAGTCACCAATACATTCTCCAGAGCTCAGAATGATGGCTGTCTAGCATGGAGGAGATGTTCAACACATTTTTGGCTGAAGGAATAAATGAAAGAAACCTACAATTAAATATATAATGACAATTGGTGGCAGGTATTCAGAAGGGCAAGGGCAGATTCTTACAAGAGAGAAGAGGAGGAACTTTGCTTTAGACCCTGAATGATGAGAGATTCATTGATGTGGGATGGGGGATAGGTGTTCTAGGAGCCAGAGCAACACACATACAGGTCTTGAGGTAGACGGAGTTTATCTGAGGCACAGAGCAAAAGCTAGTGTGTCTAGGGAAGGGTGGGCAAGGTGGAGAGCACAGTGATATGAGGGTGGATCCAGATCAGGCAGAGCCTAGATGGCGCGGGGAGGGCTTGGGATTTTACCCAAAGTGGAGAGAGAAGCCCCAACAGGGTTTGGAGCAGAAGAGTGGAATGCCGTTTTACAGATGCGGACACTGAGACCCAGAAGGCAAGATGGTTTCCCTGGGGCTATAGGCTAGGCAGTGTCCAGCAGGGCTCAGGCATTTGGATTTACATCTCAGTCTTTCCAAGTGATGGTAGGCTGCATAGGCTTTCTTTGGTTCTAGGCGTCTTTAGGCAACCTGTGATCAGATCCCTTGTTGGTGCAGGATGGATTGACATCTGCTCATGGCTCAGCCTTGTTCCGTACCAAGACCAACCTGCCCCAGCCTTCAACTTCCACACCACTTGTCCTCTCCCAGCTGTGACCAGGGTCAGCCTTTCGCCTTCCACCCTCTTCCCTGGGCTAAACCTGCTCTTTCAAGCACACAGTTTCAGACGTAGATTTTGTGAGTTGCCAAGGATCAGTGATTTAAATGGAAAGGATTCAGTTTTCAAGATTTCATTTTGGGAATTTCTCAGTGGGTGGAGGATGATTTGGGGACAATCAGAAATTAGAGCCCATGGTAGGCATTTGCTACTTCTCTTGCCATCTCCTAACTGGAGGCAAGAAGGTAAACACAGTGAATTATTATTATTATTGAGAGACATTATATAATAAGAAAAAGGTCAGGTCCTCAAGGAGACATAACAATGCTAAATGTGCATGTACTTAACAACAGAGACTCAAAAAGCATAAAGCAAAAACAGATAAAGCAGAAAGGTGAAATGTGCAAATTCAGTTATGATTGGTGAGGTCAACACTCCTGTCTCAGAAAGGGGAAGAACCAAGAGACAAAAAGTCAGCATGGATATTATTATTACTGAGAGCTTAGTATATGCCAGACTGTATGCTAAACCACTTGCATTTGCTCATTTGGTTAACAAAGTAGTCTATCAATTAGATATTACTATCATCCTCAGTTTAAAGATATGAAAACTGGAGCTCCTAGAGCTAAAATGATTACAAAACCACAAATTAGTGGCAAAGCTAATTTGACTCCAGGGTCTGACCTCTTCTTTACCATATTCTGCTCCCTCCCAGGTAAGGAATAGGGCTGAATTTATGGTTCCCAACTCCTCTGGGATCCCCACTCTTTTGAGATCAATGGACCTGACCTGTTCAGTGAGGGGAGTATGATCCTGGCTGGTATGTAGGTGCATCTTCCAATGACAACAACAGTTTCAATGGTGATAGTTCTCTGGAGGACCAAGTTGAGGGTCAGGTCAACAACCGTGCCCAACAGAGGCCTGCAGGGAATAAGATTTACAGTGAACAGAGGTGGAGAAGTCCCTTCACATTGCCCCTGAGTTCCTTTCTCTGTGGACATTACATAGGTTGTCTATGGGCAATGTTAATAGTGTCTGTATTCTTTATGGAATCGATATTCTTACATTAGGAGTTTCTTCTCCTGGCCACATGGGTTGGGCTCATTTCAAATTTCATATAACACTGATGATTAAAATAAAAATAATAGTTAACATTTCTTGAGCACAAATTCTGTGTTAGGTATTTTTAGAAAGTATTTTACCTGGATTAACCCATTTAATCATGACAGCAATACCAAGAAGGAAAAGTCTATTACTATATCTATTTTCAGAACATAGAAACACTTGGTATAGAGAAGTTAAATAGCTATTCCAAGATCTCATAGCTAATGAATGATTAAATCATTCATTTATAATGAATGATTATAAATTCATTTATACTTAATGAATTTATAAAAATTCCTACTTAATTTATAAAAACTCTTCACCTCATTTTCCTATCTCTTTGTATATAGAGAGTAATTAAAATGCTTAAAAATTCTGTTCTCCATATGATATTCACATACCTTTTATTACATACTGTACATTACTATATGATCCATACTTGTCACTGCTATTTAAAGAGAATCTTGGAAGACAAAATAATGCTGGAGAAAATTTTGCCAAAGTGTTATAAATGTTCATGTCTTCTCAATTTTCAAGTTTTATATTAGATAAGTGTTATGATTTTGGAAATATATTTCATGGGGGATTTAAAAAAGAATTGGTTGTCACCAGTGTTTCTTAGAACATTTCAAAGGTAAGGATTTAGGAGTTGCAAAACCTCCTTATTATACAGATTGGGAGACCAAGGCAACAGTGTGGAAAAGTGCCCGATTCCAGATTGGAGATCTATTAGCCATACAGCACTGTCTCTCCCAAATCTCAAATTCTAATACATACTCACAGAGTCACGGTGACCCTAATGGTGATGGGGATCGTCACTTTAATGCCGTTAGCAAACAGTTCAACTGTGATTGTCCCGATGTTGATGATACTGATTCTTAACCTGTGCAAAAACCACAATTCACTCTTGTCATTCCGCTTGGCAGCCATTGCTGGGCTCTTCTCTGTGCCAGCATTGTGCTGAACATTTGAGCCTCATAGACCTTGCCTGCTTTGGTCTTCATGAGAGCTGTGCTCAGGGTTTGGATTCTCTTCATTGGATGGCATGGCAGACTGAGGACCAGATAGCTGTGATTTCCCTCAAGACTCCAAGGAAGAATATGTGCCAGAGATGAATTTGTTTTTTAAGAAAATTTTAATGTAGTTGCTCTACAATGTTCTGTTAGTTTCCCATGTATAGCAGAGTGATTCAGATATATACATACATAAATATAGATACAGATGTAGAGATAGAGATACATTTTATTTCAGATTCTTTTGCCTTATAGGTTATTACAAAATACTGAATATAGTTCCCTGTGCTATGTAGTAGGTCCTGTTGGCTGTCTATTGTATATATAGTATTATATTTATATTAATCCCAAACTCCTGATTTATCTTCCATACCACTTTCGTTTTTGGTAACCATAAGCTTTTTATGTCCATAAATCTGTCTCCGTTTTGTATAATTTGCTTTGTGTCATATTTTAGATTCTACATATAAATGGCATCATATGATATTTGTCTTTGACTTCTTTCACTTAGTATGAAGATCTCTACATCCATCCTTTTGTTGCTGCAAATGGCATTATTTCATTCTTTCGTATGCATTCTTTTTTTTTCATTTACTTTTCTGTCTTTGATTTTAAACTTACTTCTCCAAGGATATGTATTCTTTTTTCTTGGAAGGAAGAACTCCAATATAAAGCATGAACTCACCAGAAACATGGGTACGCTACTTGAAAATATTTAGAAAACTCCGTGTCCACGATCTTCTGGGCCGTCTCTGAACACTTGGATTCCTTTAACAATGTGAAATCAACCTTCGAGTCCTTAACAATAGCTGCAAAAACAATCTCCGTTTAGTGTGAACACAACTTATGAATCAGTTCCTATGCACCACATACTAAATGAGACTATTTGCCTATGTTATTTCATTCAATCTTTATAACAACTCCATAAAGCAGGTATTATATTTTCTGCACTTTCAGATGAGGAAATGAAGGACCAAAAGATGAAGGAATGGGCCAAAGTCACACAGCTAGGGAGAACTTTTACCTTTCATGCTGCCTTTATACTTAGATATACTCATCGTGCTTCAATAAAGCAATCAATCCACTTTGCAGACCATGTATATTGATTGTACTTCAGCTTCTAATAGTGAATCTCTAATGAGATAAACTTAAAATAGACTAAGATATGGAAAATCTAGAATCGAGGAATAAACGTGGCTACAACTCACGGAAGTGTCAAATAAGATTCTCTGAATGACAGCTTTGCAACAGGCCTAGAAAGCTATAATTCATACAGAAGCAGGAGGACAGTGTCCTAATGGGGGTTCTTTAGAGAAAAGAGGGATTTGATAGAGTAAATGACATGGCAGATGTAGAATGGCACATGTGAAAAGAAATAAGAATACATATTGTGAAAATAATTCAAATGAGAAACAAGGCAACAACTAGCTCAAGGAAAAACAAAAGGCTATGACAAAAGGTATGTAACCATAGTAGTGCTATTTGGCTCTGCAATGGACAGTATCTACCTAATTATAATGAGGCAAACAGAGATGGAAACTACATCTGGCCAACTTCTGCTTCTGAGCTTGGTTTTATCATCAATGAAATTGGAAACTGAGTCCCTTCTGTATCTTTGAAGGTTGCCTAAGCCCTGGCAAGGTTTAAAGACAGTCATTTTCAGAGGTTAGTTTCTCCTATAAGAATGTTTGTCAATTTGCTGGTTATGCTTCCAAAAAATGAAAAGAAGGCCAAGTTCTCTTAAGACATCAAAATTATAAAGAGATATGACTAACTAGAAGGTAGGTAGTTTTAACCCTACCTAGGCTTCAGTTCAGTTCAGTTGCTCAGTTGTGTCTGACTCTTTGCGACCCCATGAACCGCAGCACGCCAGGCCTCCCTGTCCATCACCAACTCCCGGAGTTTACCCAAACTCATGTCCAATGAGTCGGTGATGCCATCCAACCATCTCATCATCTGTCATCCCCTTCTCCTCCTGACCTCAATCTTTTCCAGCATCAGGGTCTTTTCAAATGAGTCAGCTCTTCGCATCACGTGGCCAGAGTATTGGAGTTTCAGCTTCAGCATCAGTCCATCCATTGAACACCTGGGACTGATCTCCTTTAGGATGGACTGGTTGGATCTCCTTGCAGTCCAAGGGACTCTCAAGAGTCTTCTCTAACACCACAGTTCAAAAGCCTCAATTCTTCTGCTCTCAGCTTTCTTCACAGTCCAACTCTCACATCCATACATGGCTACTGGAAAAACCACAGCCTTGACTAGATGGACATTTGTTGTTTATTGTGATCCACACAGTCAAAGGCTTTGGCATAGTCAATAAAGCAGAAATAGATGTTTTTCTGGAACTCTCTTGCTTTTTTGATGATCCATCGGATGTTGGCAATTTGATCTCTGGCTCCCCTGCCTTTTCTAAATCCAGCTTGAACATCTGGAATTTCACGGTTCATATATTGCTGAACCCTGGCTTGGAGAATTTTGAGCATTACTTTACTAGCGTGTGAGATGAGCGCCATTGTGCGGTAGTTTGAACATTCTTTGGCATTGCCTTTCTTTGGGATTGGAATGAAAACTGACCTTTTCCAGTCTTATGGCCACTGCTGAGTTTTCCAAATTTGCTGGCATATTGAGTATTTTCACAGCATCATCTTTCAGGATTTGAAACAGCTCAACTGGAATTCCATCACATCTACTAGGTTTGTTCGTAGTGATGCTTCCTAAGGCCCGCTTGACTTGGTAGGGGTTAATTTCCAATTAGGTAATACAAATAACTAAGAAAAGTGAATGACCCAACAGAAGAATATGCTACAAATATAAATAAAATACTTAATTTAAAATATGTAAATTACTAATAAAATATGAAGAACTGTACAAAAAAGGCCTTAATGATCAGGATAACCACAATGGTGTGATCACTCACCTAGAGCCAGACATCCTGTAATGCAAAGTCAAGTGGGCTTTAGGAAGCATTACTACAAACAAAGCTAGCGGAGATGATGGAATTCTAGCTGAGCTATTTCAAATCCTAAAAAGTGATGCTCTTAAAGTGCTGCACTCAATATTCATTCCAGTCCCAAAGAAGGACAATGCCAAAGAATGTTCAAACTACCACACCATTGCACTCATTTCACATGCTAGCAAGGTAATGCTCAAAATCCTTCAAACTAGTCTTCAACAATACATGAACCAAGAACTTCCCAATGTGTAAGCTGGTTTTAGAAAAGGCAGAGGAACAGAGATCAAATTGCAAACATCCATTGGATCATAAGAAAACCAAGGGAATTCCAGAAAAAACTCTGCTTCTGCTTCATTGACTATACTAAAGTCTTTGCCTGTGTGGATCACAGCAAATTCTGGGAAATTCTTCAAGATATGGGAATACCAGACCATCTTAATTGCCTCTTTAGAAACCTGTATGCAGGTCAATAAGCAATAGTTAAAACCGACATGAAAAAATGGACTTATTCAAAATTGGGAAAAGAGTACATCAGGGTGTATATTGTCACCCTGCTTATTTAACTTACATGCAGAGTACATCATGTGAAATGCTTGGCTGGATTAAGCTCAAGCTGGAATCAAGATTACCAGGAGAAATATCAATAACCTCAGATAGGCAGATGACACCACCTAATAGCAGAAGTGAAGAGGAACGGAAGAGCCTCTTAATGAAGGTGAAAGAGAAGAGTGAAAAAGCTGGCTTAAAACTCAACATTCAAAAAACGAATATCATGGCATCTGGTCCCATCACTTCATGGCAAATAGATGGGGGGAAATGGAAATAGTGACAGACTTTCTTTTCTTGGGCTCCAAACTCATTGTAGACAGTGACTGCAGTCATGAAATTAAAAGACGCTTGCTTCTTCGAAGAAAAGCTATGACAGCATATTAAAAAACAGAGACATCACTTTGCTGACAAAGGTCCACATAGTCAAAGCTATGGTTTTTCCAGTAGTCATGTACAGATGTGAGAACTGGACCATAAAGAAGGCTGAGCACTGAAGAAGTGATGCTTTCAAACTTTGGTGCTAGAGAAGACTGTTGAGAGTCCCTTGGACAGCAAGGAGATCAAAAAAGTCAATCCTAAAGGAAATGAACCCTGAATATTCACTGGAAGGACTGATGCTGAAGCTAAAGCTCCAATACTTTGGCCATCTGATGCAAAGGGCTAACTCATTGGAAAAGACCCCTGATACTGGGAAAGATTGAGGGCAGGAAGTGAAGGGGGCGACAGAGGATGAGATGGTTGGATGGCATCATCGACTCAATGGACATGAGTTTGAGTAAACTCCCAGGAGACAGTAAAGGACAGAGGAGCCTAGTATGATGCAGTCCATAGGGTTGCAAAGAGCCGGACATGACCGAGCAACTAAACAACAATGATAAAATACAAAAAAAAAAAAAAAAAGAGAGAAGAGTGAATTATTTCTTAATTGGTGAAATGCTAAGTGAGATGAATGATAACTTTTCACCTGTGAAACTGTCAAAACATTTCAATTGTCCATACAATGCTGACAAGAAAGTAGAAGAAATGGTACTCTCACACGTGATTGGAGAAAACGTTAGCATAGGGGATTATCTGTCAACATCTCCTATAATTTAAAATGTGCATACGTTTTGAACTTTTGAAATGTCACTTTTAGGAATTTATCTTATGCATATATTACAAAAGTTTGCCATGATGTTAATATAAAATATAAAGTCATATTTAGTTAAGCACTGCTTATTTCTAGAAAAATAATAAACAAATGAACCGGGAACCAATAGCCACCTCTATCAGAATATCTTTCATAAAGAGCAGCCCCTAGTGGCAGTCTTTGGTAATACAGGTACAGTATACAGGAGTCAAGAGCCTAGGTGCCACTGATCATTCTTCTTGCTGACTTACATTCAAATATACTGTCATCAGCCACAAGTCCTTCT